CCGCTTTGCCGTGGGCAGCTCCGTCCCCAGCCTCTCCCAGAGGAAGCTAGGAGGGGCTCTGGCAGGGGCTCCCGACTCCCACAGCCAGCCAGCCCACCCCCACCCGCCACGGGAGGCAGGACGCCACTGAGACCAAGGAGGCTCTTTCTTTCTTTTCTGCTCGAAAAACCCATTAAATTTCTTGATCATTTTTATCCATGTAGTCTTTTTTTTTTCTTTAAAGATTTATTTACTTTTATTCATTCATTTACTTTTCATTTGCCCAGAGAGAGACACAGAGACAGCAAGAGAGGGAAAGTGAGAAAACAAGCCACCAGGCCCGGGACTTGAACCACAGTGCACCGAGTGGGAGTGTCCAGTGCCTTAACCACCTCGCCACTGGTCCTCCTTATGGTATTTTCTGTGCAAATTATTGATGCGTTTTTTTTTTTTTGGGGGGGGGGGGGTTGGGGGGGGTGCGCTGGCCAGAAAGACAGATACAGAGAGACAAAGTGAGAAATCACCCCCCAGGGGAGATGGCCACTTAGCAATTCCTTCTCCTCCATTCTCTCAGAGTTTGGGGCATGCACGCATCGGTGCCCAACATGAGTTTCTTAAGCCACCTGGTCCAGGGCTTGAACTTTAGCCGATTATGTGGGAGTCCAGCATTGATTGTAACCAGTACGCCTTCTGGTTGTCCCCGAAGTGTTTTCAGTTGTTAGATTTTTTTAAGCAAACCTCTATGAGGCCCAGCCCAGGAGTAATGTTGCTCTTTCAGATAATAAGTTGAGGGGACTGGGGCGGATGGCGGCACAAGCCCCGCTGTGGCCACTGGCCCACTGCCCGGGGAGCCCTCCTCACGATGGCCCGGCAGCGGGGGCCCGGCGCAGGAGAAAGGGGAAGGTACCTCCTCCGGCTGTGCGCGGGCTATCAGCGTGGAAGCTGGACGGTTAGGCACAGGACCGTGGGGGGGAAAGGTGTGACACCTTTGCCACTTAAGGGTTCCAGCGTCCTGAAACACATTTTTGCAGCCGAAAGGGCATTGCTGTGGCAACTGAGATCCCATCAGCTTCAGCGGGGTGGTCCCCCCTCAAACCAGAGAAGTACTCCAGCAGGGCAGGCATTTCGGGTGCTTACCCGCTGTTCACGGGCCATAGCCAGAGCAAGCCCGGCCTGTCCCGGCTGCCAGCGCCGAGCCCAAGAACTGGTATGGGTGCGGGCCGTCTCAAAGGCAGGCTGGACTCGCGGGTCCGCTTCCTGGAGACTGAGACACCGGTGCTGTGCCTCAGGAGAACGTCCACTTTGGTTGAAGGGTTTCCTGTGCTTTCCCTCCTCGCGTGGGATTTCCTGTGGAGCTAAATTTTACTTCAGTTGTTGCCTCAGAAAAAAACCAACAAATTCTCAAGTACAGTACAGTTATTAATAACAAGTTCTCAAGCACAGTACAGTTATTAAGGGAGCGTCTTGGCAATTAATACTCAAGCATGGGACAGGGAGGTGGCGGTGGTGAAGAGGGCGGGACTCCTACGTGGCTGACTCCGGTTCGAGTCCTAGACCTGGTGGCTTGCTATCTCATGTTCTCGCTCCCTCTCACTCTGTCTCTCACTGGTCAAATTGAAATAAGTAAATGAATAAGTAAAGTGAAATAATTCTTCTAAAAAACTTCAAGCATAGAGGATCTGAAACAACAAACAAAGGTACTCCTAAAGGGTTAGAAGATGACTGCTGTGGGAGGGCTGCTTTTCCAGGAAGATTCTAAGCAAAGTGGACTAGAGGCGGGAGGGAGGTGCCTCAGGGCCCGGCCCGGGGTTCAGAACTGGCCACTCCCTCTGTCGTCCGTTTGCCTCGCTCTTCCTCTGAAATCTCACTCAAGCTGGTCGCTGTGGAGTGTTTGTCGTGATTGCTCGTCGTTTTAGATGCCCGTGAGCTCTCATTCTGGTCTCTTTCCTGCAGTTGATCACCAAAGCTGAGAGGATCAGACTGGAGAGGGCTCAGGGAGCGAGCCAGCACATCCGGTTCTCTGCGTGTGACTGAGGGTCGGCACCCACTCGGCGTGGCCCTGTGCTGGCTGTCCTTAGGGGTCCCACTGCTACTCTGGATAGCATGCTTTTTCAGAACCCACATTTAAATAAAGAAAATGCCTTTGTTCCTCAACTTGTAAATGAGACTTTTTCTATAGACAAGTAACCACAGTTTTTCATTAAGCATCTTGTCTTGTGATTTGCTGGAGGGAATTTGCACTCACCAGAGAGGAGTACAAGGGAAGGCACGTCACACTGCAGCCCCTCTGCGTCTCTCCATCCTGTTGAGTTTTGTGCCGTTCTACCAAACCAGCGCAGCCGGGATTTGAACTGCGGTCAGCCTTGTGAGCTCAGACTTCCTTAGCCACTAAGCTATAAAACTGGCCTCCTAATTCTTTTTTAATAAAAAAAAGACATCAGGGGTGTGTGTGTGTGTGTGTGTGTGTGTGTAATTTTCTTTATTAGGTCTTTGCCACAAGGCACATGCATTTACCTGAGACAGACAAAGACAGTGAGAAGGAAAGTGAGGAATCACCCTCCAGGGGGTGGCCACACTGCAGTCCCTTCCCCTGAGATCCTGGGCACACCCGCACATGTGCTAAGGTTTCCAGCCTCCGAGTCCAGGACTCCAGCTCGTAAGTCAGGGCCTTACCCGCCGTAGCGCCTGCTGGCCCTGTGAGTGGTATTTCTAGTTCATCAGAATACCCTGTGGGTGCGTGGGTTTATTGTGCAGTTGACTAACAATTAGATTTTGTATCTAAAGTGTATAGTCAAATAGTTAACATGCATTTTGTGCTGCTTTCCCTAAGGTATGGAAATCCATTCTTTTCTAGTAGAGTTCTCAGCCCATGATCAAAGGTGTGCAAATACGTTAGGGGTCAGCAGGTGGTATGGTTGAGGTGTTGGACTCCCACATGGCTGACCACGGTTCAAGTCCCAGACTTGGTGACTTGCTTTCTCACTCTCTCTCTCTCTGTCTCTCTCTCTCTCTCTCAGGTGAGCATACATGCTCTATAGCACACTGAAAAATAATAATAATGAGGGCCAGTAGATGGCGCGATGGTTGCATCACTGGGTTCCCACATGCCCGACTGGTTTGAGCCCTAGACCAGGTGGCTTGCTTTCTCTGTCCCTCTCTGTCCTTCTCTCTGTCTATCTCTTTGTGTCTCTGATCAAGTTAAAAATAATAATGAATAAAATTAAATTATTTTTTAAATAAAACTATAAGAGACCAGCAGGTGGCATGGTGGACTCCCACATGGCCAACCACCGTTTGAGTCCTGGACCTGGTGGCTTGCATTCTCACTTTCTTTCTCTCTCTCTTTCTCTCTTGCTCTGTCCCTCTCTGGTCAAATTGAAATAAAGTTGAATTAAATAATTTTTCTAAAAATAATAATATTTTTTAAAAAAGAAGTATAGGGCCCTTCAAGAGGCATGGTGGCCCGGCAGGAGGCATGGTGGCGGTTTAAGTCCTAGACCTAGGCAGCTTGCTTTCTCACTTTCTCCTTCTCTGGTCAATTTTTAATTAATTAATTTAATTAAATAATCCTTTTTAAAAATTAAAAGTACAACTTTTTTTCTGGAACTCAGCCTAATCTCTTCGAGTCCCACATCTCTCGTGGATTTTTTTATGGTTTCTGCCATAGGACACGCATGCTCACCCGAGACAGATGGAGGAGAGTGAGAGATCACTCCTCGGGAAACAGCCACGCCACAATCCCTCCTCCATTCTCCTCTCAGAACTTTGGGCATGCACATATGTGCACCTGGTGTGTTTTTTTTATTAAAAGTTTTTTCTTTAAAGAATTATTTAACTTTATTTATTATTATTATCATTGTTATTTTCCAGTTTGATCAGAGAGAGAGATGAAGTGAGAAAGCAAGCCACCAGGTCCGAGACTTGAACCATGGTCGGCCATGTGGGAGTCCAGCGCCCTTAACCACCATGCCACTTGCATGCCCCTTATTAAAGATTTTTTAAAATTTATTAATTATTATTGTTTTCCTGTTTGATCAGAGGGGGAAAATGAGAAAGCACTGCCCCCCAGGGGTGAGGTCCCTTCATAATCCCTTCTCTATTCTTAGGGTTTGGGGCACGCATGCACACACTAGGCATATTTTTCAAGCCACCAGGTCCAACAGTCAAACCATGCCATCGGCCATGTGGGATCCAGCCACCCCAACTGCCCTGCCACCACCTAGCCCCCACAGATCCCTTTCACAGGAGCATGTGTGAGATCCTGGAGGAAGCACCTGGCCCTTTGGGGACACAGCCCAGGAAGTGGGGAAGATAAGGAATGGCAGCTTGATGAGATCGGCCCACAGGAATGCTTGGACAGCACACCGGGGAGTCTGCCCAGTAGGCAGTGAAGATTGCAAACAGGAAAGTGTCAGCCGTGCAATGGAAGGAGGGGAGCAGGTATGGGGAGAGGGCCTAGAACGTCACTGGGATGGCCGACAGAGCTGTGAAAAAGTGTCCACGCTGGTCCCGTGGCTGGATCCCACAGGGCTGGCCGGTGTTAAAACCAGCCCCAGTGGCTTGAAAAATACACCAGGTGCTTGTGCGCCCTGAACCCTGACAAGACAGGGATGGAGAAGGCCGAGACACGACCAGGCCCCTCGGGGTTTCTCCCTCTCCCTGTCCTCTGTCTGGCAAGAACACACGCCCTGGAACTTGGAGCCCCAGTAAGTACCGAGCACGGGAAGATTCTGTGATGAGCTGCTGTCACTTGCTCTCACAGCAGCTGACTCAGTCCCTGAGACCGATGACCGTCAGACGCCCCCGCGGGAGCCCAGACAGGAAGTGGGGCCAGCACACAGTACGTACCCACCTCTCTATTTCACGTGTCTGCGTGTGTAGTGGGAGGCATGTGTGTTACATGTATGTGTGTATGTGTCCATACTCACAAGTGTCAGAAAACATCTACCTTATATCGACACACTGCGATGCTTTGCTTTTTTATTTAATGTTAGTTACAGTTTGTGCTTGGGGAAACATCCATGCCCTCCCAGACCAATGGCCCAACTGCAAGTGAGGGTGTGGCCCACAGTAGCAGTGACGTTCAATAAACCAGTGATTTACAACAAAGGAAGGGAAATGCAGTGCCAGTGAGGACGAATGAGTGTGAGCGAGGCCCAGTCACAGGAGAGGGGACAGTCCTGCACCTGGAGGGGACAGCCCGGAGAGATGGCTGAGCGTGGGGAGGAGAGGAAAGGGATGACCAGCAGCGAGCTGGCGGGCTGGGTGTGACCGAGGCCCTCCCATGGCCACGGGGCGAGGAGTCCGAGTGCAGGCAGCCTGCAGTTCCAGTCCCGGAGCCCTGACCAGGCAGCATGAGGAGGAAACGTGAAGATAGGTTTTTCCCAATTGGACTTTCAAGGCAGTTTTCTGGGAAGAGAGATTATACTAGTCAGTTATAGATCTGTATTTCTATCTTTTCAGTTCCAGGTAAAGATTTGTATTTTTATGCTCACATATTTAGAGCCATGTAAGCGTGTCTGTTACATGTCCCTTGCACACGTAAATGCAGGAGTACAGGCTAAAACGCAGTAAATCAAGACCTGGCATTCGTTTATCTGCTCTTTGTATGTTGCATAAAGTGTCTGTCCTGGGACCAGCAGATGGCATAGTGGTTATGTTGCCAGACTTCCACATGGCTGACCGTGGTTCAAGTCCCAGCACCAGGGCTGTGAAACTCACACTGGGTTCATAGGCATGCCGAGAAGCAACTGGAGGAGGAGGGATTGTGGCGTGGCAGGCGGTCCCCCCCCAGGGGTGATCGCTCGCTGTCTGTCTCTTGGTGGGTGCATTCACCCTAAAGCAGAAATCTCTCCAAAACGAAACCCGTGTCCCGCAGGGTGCGATCACACTGCCAACTGGCTCCGCAGTCTGTGCTGGGGTGAAGCCTGCACCGGGAGCTGCACGGGAAGGTCAGTGAGAGCCATGGGACTCCATGAGGAGCGTGCACCTGGCTGACCAGCGCCCGACCACGGGAGAGGTGGTGGCCAGCACCGCCCGGAGCGCCTGCGCACAGTGTGCATCCATGTGCACGGAGCACTGCAGTTTGCACCCTGTTTGCGCTGTATTGATCTGATTTACTTACTCTTCTGTTTATTTTGAGATTTTTGCTACAGGGGAGAGAGACAGTGAAAGGGAAAGTAAGAAATCCCTCCTGGGGGATGGCCCCATCACAATCCCTCTCCATTCTCCCCCTCACAGGATTTTCAGCACGCACTCACACGCACCTGGCAGGATTTCCAAGCCTCCAGGTCTGGGACTTGAATTGTGTTTGACCATGTGGGAGTCCAGCACTGTAACCACTGTGTCACCTGCTGGCCCCAGTTTGTGCTTTCAATAAAAATGATTTGTCTAGGGGGAAAAAAAAAAAAAGAGGTGATTTCTCATTTTCTGTCTCTCTCTGAGGAGAGCATACGCCCTACAGCAAAATTCTCTCAAAAAAAAAAAATAATTAAAAAATAATCACGCCAGGAGGGTGTGCGTGTATGCCCAAAATCCTGATTGGAGAAGGGATTGCCGTGTGGTCATTGCCCCTGGGGGATGATTTCTCATTTTCTGTTTTTGTCTCTCCAGCAAGCACACATGCCCTATAGCCAAAAGCTCTTTAGGAAAAAGAAAAAAAAAAAAAAAATGCTTTCTCACTTTCCCTCTCTCTCTCTCTCTCACACACTCTGTCCCTCTCTGGTCAAATTTAAATAAACAAATATATAAATAAAATAATTATAATTAAATAAAATAATTATTTAAAAAAAGAATTATTTAATTTTATTTACTATCATTATTTTCTAGTTTGATCAGACACAGAGAGAGAGGGAAAGTAAGAAAGCAAGCCACCAGGTCCAGGACTTGAACTTCAGTCGACCATGTGGGAGTCCAGTGCCTTAACCACTACACCACCTTCAGGTCCGTGAAATAATTCTTTAAAAAAATTGAAATATATAATAAAAAATTCTCTAAGTGACCTGCAGATGGCATGGTGGTTAAGATGTTAGATGATTCCCACAACGCCAACCACGGTTCAAGTCCCAAACTTGGCGGCTGGCTTTCTCACTTTCCCTAGCTGGTGAAATTAAAAAGAATAATAATAAATAAAATAAAATAAATATTTATTTAATTTTATTTA